TAAGTCGCAGAATACAGCCGCTGCGACATCACCATTATTAAGCCTGGTATAAAGGTCTTCCAAGAAGGAAAAAATTGCGTCGTTCGTTCCCTTTGAAGCTTGGAATCCAAATTGACAGTCAGATAGAATTTTGTTGCGTTCAAAATATTCTGTCAATCTTTTCTTAACCAGTTTTTCAATTATTTTGGACAGAGTCGGCAATAGAGATATGGGGCGAAAGTTAGATGGTATATCTGGGTCTCCACCTTTATAGAGAGGTAAGACAATCGCAGTTTTAAGACAGGATGGAAATATACCACTGTTAAACGAATCGTTTATTACACTTACCAAAACCCTCATGGCATTATCAGGTAAGTTTTCAAAAATTCTGGGTGAAATATCATCAAGTCCAGATGAGTTTTTATTCCTTATTAGCGTAACAATACTTTTAACTTCAGTGACATCAGTCTCAAACAAAACAAAAGAGTTCAGCACAGGGTCGGCATTAAAAAGACTTAGAGGATCAACGGGTATTTTTACCTTCCCAGCCAAGTCATTTGCCACTGAACAGTAAAAGTGATTTAAGACGTTGAGATCCATGTTTAATTGAGTTTGTATTTTACCATTCTTCCCTCTCAAATTATTGACAATATTCCAACTTTCCCTTGCTTTGTTTTTTGAGCTACTTATTTGATGTTTATAATGGATTTCTTTTGCCAGTTTTATAGTCTGTCTATATATACGTCTATAATTATTAAAAAAGATAAGAAAATTGTGATTGTCAGTAAATTTCCTTATAGTATGTAGCGATTTAAGATTTTTTGCAGAATTTTTTATGCCCTGCGTTATCCATGGCTTTCTACATTTATGTTTAATTGGCCTTACAGGAAAATTTTTATTAAAACTATCAACTAATACAGAGTAATAAGCATATACAGGATTCTCACAATCCAGAACGCTTTCCCAATTGGTTTGCCTAGAATGCTCCCTAAAGCTATTAAAATTTCTTGTACTATATATTCTACCAAGCCTATTCTCTCTTTTCTCAATTTTAAACCTGACAGGAAATTTCATTTGTACTGCTTCATGGTCAGATAATGGGGCAGGAATAACAAAACAATCAGAAGCATCGCAGTCAAAATTTGTACAGACATAATCTATCACAGAAGCGCTGAACCTAGAAACACGCGTGGGCTCTTTAACTAACATATTTAAATTAAAAGAACTCAAAAGGTTATTTAGTTCTTGGGTCTCCCAATTTTTGTTTAAGAAATTTATATTAAAGTCGCCGGCCAAAACAATTTTGCTATTCACTGAAAAATTTTCCAATAGAATTTCTAAACCATTCAAAAACTCTCTTACACTGCCACTTGGTGGCCTATAAACACAAATTAAATAAAGTTTAAATTTCCTATTGCACGCAATACAGAACTCAAATTGACCCTCAATAACCAGATCATTATACTCTACAAGGTTATCTGCAGTAAAATTATTAAAAAAAGTTTCATTTATTAAAATCATTGTGCCACCATATCCATATTCATATCTTTACCGCAGAGGAAATCACCGAGAAGTTATCATACTTAGATAAATCTAAGAGAACAGGCCCTGATGGCGTTCCACCCTTATATTGTTGAAATCTTGTTGTGTTGCTCCTCCCTTGTGAACCCATTGAGAGCTGCAGGATGCAGGTTATTTTCCTTCCTTATAGAAAAAATCACAAAAATTCTCACCACCAGGCTAACAATAAAATTCGATGGTTACCAATCGAAAGAACAGGCCGGCTTCAGAAAGGGTTTCAGTACAAGAGACCACCTATTAACCATGAAAATCCTAATAGAACGAGCCAACGAATATCACATCCCACTATATATTGCATTTATCGACTTCGGAAAGGCTTTTGATAGTGTTGAACATTGGGCAGTAAAGACCTCATTAATTAATAGCAGAATAGACTACAGATACACAGACCTAATAACCAACATATATAGCGAAGCAACAACAACTATTAGGTAAAGTCCAGGAGTGAACAAAACCAACACCCATAGGAAGAGGTGTCAGACAGGGCGACACAATATCACCCAAACTTTTCAACCAGGCTCTGGAAGATGTTTTTACAAAACTAGACTGGGAGAAACAAGGTATAAAAATATGCGGACAACACTTGAGCAACCTAAGATACGCGGAAGATATCGCCCTTATAACTGATAAGAAAGAAGAGTTGACAGAAATGCTGGAAGAACTTGACACAGCAGCTAAAAACATAGGACTCAATATGAACTACACTAAAACAAAAACAATAACGAACACAGACGATGACATCACAATCAGAATAGGACAGGAAAAAATAGAACAAGTCGACGAATATATATATATCTGGGACAGATTATTAAACTCAGCAAAGAAAACCAAACAGCAGAGATCAAGAGACGAGTTAGATTAGCTTGGGCAGCATTCGGTAAATTAAGCTACATCTTGAAAAATAGAAAATATCCACAATACCTCAAATCCAAAGTTTATAATCAATGTATACTTCCTGTTCTCACCTATGGATCCCAAACATGGACACTTACAAAGTCAAACATGGATAAAATAACAAAAGCACAAAGATCAATGGAAAGACAAAATGTTACATGTGAAACTGATAGATAAAAAGAGGAACGAGTGGATAAGAAATAAAACAAGAGTAAGAGACGTTAGAAAGGAGGAAGCAAAATTAAAATGGAAATTCGCAGGTCACAATATCAGACAAAAAGACGACCGATGGAATAAATGTATCTTAAGCTGGAGACCTTGGGAGAATAAAAGAAGTAGAGGAAGACCCCAGATGAGGTATGCTGATGACCTGAAGAAACACGCTGGAATCAGGTGGATGAACATGGCAACAGACAGAGAAGAATGGAGAAGACTGGGGGAGGCCTATGTCCAAAGATGGACTGAAGAAGGCTGAATAGATAGATAGATAGATAGATAGATAGATAGAAAAAATCTCATCTTCTTCCCGTTTTCAAGGTATGGGTGATAGGTCGGTTATCAGTAATTACCCTGGAATATCTCTTCTCTCTGCCATTCCTGAACTTTTTAAGTCGATTCTTACTGATGAAATTTTTTACATAATATATAAAAACTACATTATTCCTGAACAACATGGATTCAATAACGGTCGTTCTGCCTGTACTAACCTAGCAGTTTACCAGGACTTTGTTTCATCCGTTGAAGCTGGCTGTCAGGTTGACAGTATTCATAGAGTATTTATATGATTAAATCCTATCTATCTCAGCGTCGTCAGTTTGTTACTGTTTGTGCTTCTGTGCCTTGTGACGTACTTGTAACCTCTGGGCGTCCCCATGGTTCGCATATCGGTCCTGTGCTCTTTTCATTATTTATAAATGATGTTCTATTATGTCTTAAAATATCCTAATGTTTCTTATACGCCGACGACCTGAAACTCTTAGCTTTGGCCTTGGTCTCGATGGCTTGCATTCTGATCTTCAGAGACTTGTTGTGTGGTGCGAATCCAACTTCTGTCAATTAATATCTCTAAATGTAAATCTATCTGTTTCCACAAACGTCGGAACCCATTGAAAAATACTTATACGATTAATGATTCAATAATTGAAAACGTTTCATCTATTGATGATCTAGGAATAATTTTCGACACTGACCTAACGGTTAATTTGCATATTTATAGCATTGTTCTGAAGGGATTTAGGATGCTGGGCTTCATTAAGAGAAATTCAAAGCATATTATAGAGATACAAAAGCAATCACCTGTTTGTATAATTGTCTAGTTCGAAGTTTGTTAGAGTACTGTTCTGTGATCGGGTCACCTCGTTACGCTTGTCATTTACAAAGACTGGAAAAAGTTCAAAGTAAATTTCTTGAATAACTGTTGGTGAAAGAATGAGAAAGAATGAAAAAAAACTCAAAAAAAAGCTACGAAGAAAAAAATTTCTGAGATAATGAAAAGTATTATACCTCAACCTCAATCCTTCACTTTCCTTATAGTAACGTTCCTTATGACACTAGACTTTTGCTTTGTGGTGTCAAAAGCTTTGAGTGTCGTCGAAGAAATGCTTATTTGTTGTTTCTCTACAAGCTTCTCAATGGAGTAATTGCCTGCACTCATCTTCTAAATTTGATCACATTTTTAATTCCAATAAGACGTACAAGATAAGTTCAGTTAGTTATTTTACGAGCGTTATCACAGAACACAGAACTAACTATGGTCTCAATGCTTTTATAGATCGTCTAGTTTATAATTATAATAGGTATTTCCACGATTGTGATCTTTTCTCTGTTAGTTTGGTATCTGTTAAGAGGATGCTGAGAGATTTGTAGTTTGCCTTTCCTGTAGGGAGTGGCCTATACTGTGACACTTCGTTATGTCCTTTGTTGGTTGTGAATATTTGTTTTTGTTTTATATCTTTGTACCATTTAGAATATTTTATTCTGTAGTGTATTGAATTTGTTAATAAATAAATAAATAAAATAAAAAATTAGGAGGTCGACTTGGACGACCAGCGCTCAATCTGAACGATTAACCCAAGGCCCTAGTGAGACCCCAAAATCTAGCCAATTAGCATCCGAAATCTCAGATCACGCACTCTATAGACTTTATGAACGGACTTTACTACCAAAAAAAAAACACATTCTACTTGTTTACTCACCAAAACAATTTAAAAATTTACATTAATTATGATAATTGTCTACTTAGTGAGACTCGTCAATAGGTAGTTACAGTTCCTCATCTTTTTATTGAATCAGGTAATTTATTAAATAAAATTAAACCATTATGAAATAGTGCCCTTTCTGTAGCTTTTTTTTTGTCCCATGTAAATTATTCCGTGACCGTGTATTTGGAAGACAAATACGACGGATCTGGATTTTGCAAAAGCATTCGACCGAGTTCCAAACCAGAGGCTTTTGCTAAAACCGGATAATTTTGTGGTGAGGGCAGAAGGGGGAGATTTACTGCTTTGGACCAAAGACTATCTTACAAACAGGGAGTACAAAGTTATTAGAGTTGGCGACTCATACTCTGAACTCTATCCAGTACAAAAGTGGCGCTCCCCAAGGTTTGGTACTTCCACCTCTGTTATTTGTAAATTTACACTATAGATCTCCTTACATGTGCACCGTTCGTCGACGACATAAAAACTTATAGTCGAGCCCGTCGAGCCAACAATTCTGACTCGCTCCAAAATGATTTAAATCAAATTGGAAAGTGGTGTAACTAACAACTACAAAAACTGCTGCGCTTAAAAAGAACAATAAGAGGAGATCTTATCTCCACCTACCAAATACCACAACAACATTCAAACAGTCACATCTCTATGCCAGAGACTCCGGGATCACAATCTCAAACTAAAAAAAAAAACTACTCCACAGTATGTAGGGAGAACTTTTTACCAAACAGAGTCTTTGCCCTCTGGAATCAACTCCCAGCTGAAACAGTGCTACTTCTGGTTAGTATTCAAGGCAATCCTTGATAGTCAGTTCCCATAGTGCTTAAACCACAACAGAGACTCAAAAACTAATGCCCGTATTACATCTGTGTATTTTTCCGTGTATTTATTCATGCAGTTCAGGGTGACAACCTAAAAACTTCAAACGCAACATAAATCAGCATTATGAAACACAAAATAATGTTGGCAGCCTGAACTACATGAATAATACAAGGCAAAATACACAGATGTAATACAGGCATAACAGTGGTAATAGTAAAGTAGAAAGTATAATTTTTTTTTGTTATAGGGTAGTTCTAGAAATTAAAGTATGTCCCCCAAACCCTCTGACTTACAAAGAAAATAAATAGATTTTTACAATAAAAAAGTGTTCCTTTAAAAATGCTAGCAATGATCACACTGTAGATAAATTAGAACGTAGTGGGGAAAATGTTCAAATAATAATTATAATAGTACGATACGTATGTCGTAAATAGTAACACATAAATGTTGAGCAATACCGATTTAAGTAACACACACTTCTTAAACCTGAAGAATTTAAAAACCGAAAATCGAGGTCAACTTTCACCTGTTTAGCTTTCAATTTCCATTTGTTGGCACGTCTTTAGTTTTTTCGCGTCGATTTTCCTGCATCCTAAGCCCCTTAATAATGTCCCTTTCGAAGGTTTTACGATTACGGCCCTTGTCGCAAAAACTTTTGCCGATCACCAGTGCTATTATTAGTGACAGAAAAAGTGTGTCTTCTTCGGAAAAACAGTTTGCTAAATTAGCTCAGGAGAAAAAACCCGATTGGAATAGGGCCGTGAGCGAAGCTGAAAAAATTGTTGGATATCCGACGTCGTTTTTGAGCTTGAGGTGGTTGCTGAGTGATGAAATTGCTAATGTGGCATTGCATTTGAGGAAATTAGTTGGATCGAATCATCCTTTGTTGAAAACGGCAAAGTAAGTTCACTTTTTGCATACCTACCTATGTTATTTTAAACATTTTTTTTCCTTAGAGGTCTTCTTTACAATGGCAAAAACAATATGCAAGCTTGGGGTCTTATAGTTTTACTTATATCCAAAGCAGCAGGACATTCTCCAGATATTCCTGATATGGAACAAGATAAAGCAGCTGGTAAAATAGACACCATTATTAACAACATAATTCATTTATTTAAAAAAATGTAGGTGTGTTACATAGTCAAAGAGGTTTAGCTGAAGTAACAGAAATGATTCGAACCAGTCATTTAGTACATAAAGGTTTGGTAAACTTACAACCCCCCAATAACGTGGATGCCAGTGGAGATATGATGTTTGGAAATAAAATTGCCCTTTTAAGTGGAGATTATTTATTAAGCAACAGGTAAGCATCAAATAAAAATTATTAACTAGTTAGTTATTTAAATTTTAGTTGTATAGAATTAGCTAATCTCAGAAATCAAGATCTAGTCGAGTTAATGAGTTCAGCTGTAAGAGATTTAGCTGAAGCTGAATTTGTTGGTCCCAGAGACAAACAAAATAATCCGTTACCAGCCAAACCAAAAAACCAAGTCGAATACAAACAATTTACCGAAAATAATTTAGAACCTTTAGTCGTCAGCGAAGCGTTGGGTAACGCTCAAGCAGAATGGACTTTGAGGCACGTCCTAAATGCAGGTTCTTTACTGGGAAAATCGTGTCAAGGCACTTTGAAATTGGCAGGCCATTCCGAGGAATTACAAGAAAAAGGGTATTTGTTTGGGAAACATTTGGCATTGGCTTGGCAGGCTTGTTTAGATAGGGAACCTTTCCAAGCAGGTACGAATTTCGATTCTTGTTATTTTTATTGCAAGAGACTTATTTTATTTTAGGTTCAAGTGGCCCATTTAGTTTAGTGTGTGCTCCCCTTATGTTTACACTGCAAAACAAACCAGAACTTTATGAACATATTGAGAGAGGACTGGAAAATGTAGACGAAGTTGATTATGAACTTCTTAGAAAAGAAGTCAGTATAATATTAATTTAATTTATTCTGTTGACATAATTATTATTGAATTCATTGTAGGTCCTTGAAGGTCCAGGTCTGGAACTGACTAAGAATTTACAAAAAGAACACTCCCAGGCGGCTCTGCAAGTGTTAAACGAGTTACCAGCTTCGGATGCCCGAACTGCTTTAGCTAATATAATTGCCGCAGTACAAGAATCCTAAGAAATGGGCATTTTATACATTGGAATTCAAGCTAGTCTCACCAATTTAAATTTTATCGAAAAAGTACCTTTTTACAATATGAATCTACTGTGATAAGAATGCTTTTATATTTTTATAATTATTATTTTTGTGTATATAATTACTTATTGTATTTTATAGTGGAAAGGAATGGGTTAAATATATTAGGTAAGTTTAGATACAATATTTTTTTTTTTTTGTGTTTCGTTTTTTTTTAGCTTTTTAATAACAATGGTAGAAGATACAGAGTTTTCCACCCAATTGAATTTGACTTTTCATTCACCAATATCATGTGGTGCGAAAGAGTAGGTATTCAAAATAAGGCAAAGCTATATCCATATGGCTACCCAACTACCTATATGGTTAATTTTTTTATCGCCATATTTTGCACCAGTGAAAATCTGCATATAGTTGTCTGGTTGACACGAGATTCCTGTAGAATAAAATCTCGAGACAATGGGTGGTATGAATAAAAACGAAGTACATGCTACTACTACAAGTATTAGTATATTCTTCGAAGTATCTACTTCACAAAGAAGCATTTACTAATTTCCGGTAGTTTAGAAATGTAGTATCTACTTCGTTTTGAAGTAAATACTACGTAGAACATACTAATACTTGTAGTAGTAGCAAGTACTTCGTTTTTATTCATACGACCCAATGGGTGGTATGAATAAAAACGAAGTACTTGCTTCTACTACAAGTATTAGTATGTTCTACGTAGTATTTACTTCAAAACGAAGTAGATACTACATTTCAGTAGTTTCGAAATGTATAGTATCTACTTCGTTTTGAAGTAAATACTACGTAGAACATACTAATACTTCTAGCAGTAGCAAGTACTTCGTTTTTATTCATACCACCCATGCGTGAATCGTAAACCGACAACATAGCAACAAGTTCAAAAAGCCCCCAAAAGAAACTGAAAGAGCGTCGCACACAATTTGAATTTCAAATAAAAAGTTTCCGGTAAAAAAAGGGCTCTACACAGATGTCACGTGCAACATTTTTTCTACTACTGACAATATAAAGCCATACATTCAAAAATATATAAGAACAACTTTAGGCACTAGTGTCTAAAGTAAATTACTTCACAACCTAGATGTGAAGTAAATATAACATATCAAGATTACATGCAGCATAATGTACAGTCCAATATTCACTATAATTTGGTTTTGATTGGTCAGGAAAGTATATTTGTATGGCTAAAGTAATAAACTTATCTTCAGTATCTTAGTATTGTCTGATCTGGGCCAAGATTCTAAAATCACGATTCGACACACGACTCGATAACGATACCAGCCTTGTCGTGTCGAAAGGTATAATTCCAATGAGATTTCTAACCTAGAATCGTCGGAAAAATCGTCTCGTTGTCGAGTCGTATGTCGAATCGTGATTTTAGAATCCCCGGCCTGGTATTTTACAATTCTGTTGTTGTCAGCGACATCTAGAAAAACGGAAAAGAGTTATTATGTGGTTTATTACTGGCAATGAGAGATCGCAGGGCCTGGCGGATCTATTTGACATTGTTGAGAAAACAAAAATTTATAGTTTAAATAATAATCATAAAATGTTATATTTTAGAGTTGGCAACATTCAATTGGCAGTTGAAGGAATTTGGTTGTCAACATAAAAGAATGAGGTTAAGTTATTCTGTAAGAATGTTTTTCGACACATTTTAAAAAAAACGATTTAGTATTTAGTTTTTCGTAATAAAAAACCTTATAAAAAGAAAAACCCTTCGTATTCTCGTGTTTATTGAAAAGTAAAATAAAATAAAAACAAAACAAATCAACAGGTTATGGGCCCAGGAAGCTCAAAATAAAAACAGTGTGTCGTGTGTGAAAAACAATAAAATAAAAAAAATAAAACTCCAATTAAAAACCCAATTAAAAACCTTACTGATAAAATAAAAAAGACTAAAATTAAAACATGGCCAGTGCGAGTGAAAATGAGATTGCAACCATCGAAAAATTAGTGAATGCAGAGACCTTTGAAATGTGGAACTTTCAGACCTCAGTTTTCTTTAAAGCAAGTGGGCTTTTTGCAATAGTGTCAGGTGATGAAACATATGAACTACTAACAGAAGAAAAAGATAAAAAAGGTTGGATGCAGCGAGATGCAAAAGCACAGAAAATCCTCATTTCCACAGTCGACAAAAAAGTGTTAGTGCATCTAATGAACTGTAAAACATCAGCTGAGATGTATACAAAACTTAAAGAAATATTCAAGAAAGATACAGAAGATCAGAAATGTCATTTACTGCAAGAGTTTTTCAGTTTCCAGTTTGAACGAGGCATTGATATTGCTACACATGTAAGTAAATTACAAAACTTAGCTTACAGACTAAAAACGTTGAACCAAGATGTAACTGATGAAATGTTAATGTCAAAAATATTAAGTACTCTACCAGAAAAATATAGATTTTTTAAAACAGCTTGGGAGTCGACAACACAAAATGAAAAAAAATTGACAAACTTGATTTCAAGACTTCTTGCGGAAGAAAATGCAAATAAAAACAATGAAAAAGAAAAATCAGTGGCTTTTCAGTGTTCAAATGCAGAAAAAGTTTGTCACATCTGCAAAAAACCTGGACATTTTGCACGTTATTGCAGGAATAAAAATAAAAACTATCATGAAAGTGACAGAAACTGGAAAGGTGAGAACCGAAGGGACAATTATTATCAGTCGAAACAAGAGGAAAGAAGATGTTCGATATGCAAAAAGGCAAACCACACTGAAATCAACTGTTTCTTCAGAAATAAAAACAGCAGTGAACATAAAAACCCTGATAAAAAAGTGTCATTTTTGACAGAAAATAAAAACTATGAATATAAAAATAGTAATAATAATATGTTTGTAATAGATTCCGGAAGTACCTCACATATGGTAAATGATCTTGAATTATTTGACAATTTAATAGAAAAGCAGACTGACATATGTGTTGCTAAAAAAGGTGCTCAGATTACAGCTGAAGGTTTTGGGACAATTGAAGCAAAAAACTGCATTTTGAATGAGGTTTTATATGTTCCAGAATTAAGCAAAAATTTGTTATCAGTAAGTGCCATTACTAAAAATGATGGTCAAGTAATATTTAATGATGACAAAGTTTATATAATAAAAGATAACAAAAAGATTCTAGAAGGCAAAAAAAACGAAAACAGTCTATATACAACATATTTGGAAACAAATGAGCGAACAGTTGAAGAAAGCAATTTAAGTGAAACAAAAGAACAAAAAGTGGTCAATTGGCATCGAAAGCTAGGCCACATTAACATAAAAAACATACAAAAATTGATCAACAATGAAATGGTTATCGGAATGGATATAGATAAAAAGGATTGTGAATTATTTGAAATACCATGTGAAGTTTGTTTAAAAGGAAAACAAACAAGATTTCCTTTTAATAGTGAAAGAAAAAGAGCCGAAAGACCTTTAGAGCTCATACATACAGACTTATGTGGACCAATCGATCCACCAACATGGGACAATAAAAAGTATATGTTAACTATAATGGATGACTATAGCCATTTTGTAGTCATTTATTTGCTAGAATATAAAAGTGAGACAACAGAATATGTGAAAGAATACATTGAACAAATGGAGAGAGAGAAAAATACGAAAGTGGCAAAAATCAGAAGTGACAATGGCAAAGAATATGTGAATGAAGATCTACAGAGATATTGTAGAGAAAAAGGAATAGTAATGGACTTGACAATACCACATACACCCCAACTTAACGGAAAGGCTGAAAGACTCAATCGAACCCTGATAGAGAAAGTGAGATCTTTATTATTTGATTCCAACATGGACAAAATATTTTGGGGAGAGGCTGCCAGAGTTGCTACTTATATACTAAATAGAAGTCCTACAGAATCCCTACAGCTATATAAAACTCCTATTGAAATATGGAGAGGTGACAAGCCAGATTTAAAAAGGATGCAAATTTTTGGTGTTGAAGCATACTCAAAAAATCTAGGATACCTAAAGAAACTAGATAGCCGATGTGAAAAATATGTATTTGTGGGCTATGCACCAACAGGATACCGCTTGTGGGACGAAAAGAATGAGAAAATCATAATAAGAAGAGATGTTATTTTCAAAAAACCAAAATATGACGGTGAAAACCTAAAAATTAACATTAAAATAGATAAAGATGAAGAAATACCAGAAAATCAAGGAAAGGAGAAAAATCAACATGAAAAAGAGAAAAATATACCAGAAAGAGAAGAAATAATACAAGAACAAGAAAATGATAATGAAATTCAGCATGAAAACCAAACAGAGGAACCAAAACAACATGAAAATGAGATAGAATATATATATGAAGACAGTGATGAAGAGGATTTAAACTTGGGACAAGGCACAATTACAAGACGAGGAAGACATATTAAAAAACCACAACATTTAGAAGATTATATTCTACTAACATACGAAGAAGCAATTGGAAGTGAAGAAAAGAATCATTGGAAACAAGCAATAGAAGATGAAAAAGACTCACTAGAAAGGAACCAAACTTGGGAATATATTGACAAAACAGAAGCCAATGCTAAGAAAATACTATCAAATAAATGGGTTTTTAGGATAAAAGATAACGGGACATATAAAGCAAGACTTGTGGTACGAGGATGTCAACAGCAAAAAGGACTCGATTACGAAGAAATATTTAGTCCTGTTGTAAATATCAGTTCTCTAAGAATGTTGCTAGCCGTAGCAGTACAAAAAGATTTAAACATGAAAAAATTTGATATAAAGACAGCATTCCTCTATGGTACAATTACTGAAGACATTTATATGCATATTCCTGAAGGCTATGAAAAACAAGAAGGCAAAATATGCAAGCTGAAGAAATCACTATATGGGCTTAAGCAAGCACCAATGAGATGGAATGAGTGCTTCACAAGATTTTTAAAGGAAAATAACATGGAACCTTTGAGTGTTGACCAGTGCGTTTTTAAGAATCAAAAAGGAAATCTAATTTTAGCCATTTATGTTGACGATGGTTTAGTTGTCGGAGAAAAATTAGAAGATATAGACAACCTATTGCACAAACTAGAAGAAAATTTTGAGGTGAAGAAGTTTGAAAATATTGACAATTTCTTGGGGATAAAAATAACAAAAGGTGAAAACTGGATCAAGTTAGACCAAGAGAGCTACACTCAAAGTGTGATAGAAAGATTCCAAATGGAGAATGCAAAACCAGCAAATACACCAATCACAGACTATGAAGAAAAATCTACCACTGAAGAAAAACAAGAAATAAAATTTCCTTATCGTGAGGCAGTGGGCAGTCTTTTATACCTGTCAAACAAGACTCGCCCGGATATAGCATATGCAGTTGGTTTTTGCAGCAGAAATCTGGAAAATCCATCGAAGGTAGATGTAAACAATGTAAAGCGAATTTTGAGATACTTGAACGAAACAAAAACAAATGGAATTATTTATCATCAGAATGGACAAGATGCAGTGTTAACAGCATACAGCGACAGTGACTTTGCAGGGGACAAACAGACAAGAAAAAGCACTATAGGCTATGTAGTATTCTACAGTAATGGTCCAATAAGTTGGTGTTCCAGAAAACAACCAGTGACAGCATTGAGCAGTACAGAGGCTGAATTTATTGCAGCAGCTGAAAGTGTTAAAGAGGTACTGTACTTAAAAGTTCTTTTAGAAAGCATGTTTTTGAAAAATGTAACTGTTCTTTTGAATGTAGATAATCAAAGTGCAATCAGTATCATTAAAAATGGACAATTTAACAAAAGATCAAAACATATAGATGTTAGGTACCATTTTATTCATGAAAAGGTGAAAGAAGGATTGATTAAAATAGATTATATATGTACTGAGAATAATGTTGCAGATATTTTTACAAAAGCTCTAAATTCTATTAAATTTGAAAAACATAAGAATGTATTAGTTGAATAAGAATATTTTGATTATTATTTTTTTTTGGAGTGATAACATTTTATGATCATTAGGACAAGGTGTTGAGAAAACAAAAATTTATAGTTTAAATAATAATCATAAAATGTTATATTTTAGAGTTGGCAACATTCAATTGGCAGTTGAAGGAATTTGGTTGTCAACATAAAAGAATGAGGTTAAGTTATTCTGTAAGAATGTTTTTCGACACATTTTAAAAAAAACGATTTAGTATTTAGTTTTTCGTAATAAAAAACCTTATAAAAAGAAAAACCCTTCGTATTCTCGTGTTTATTGAAAAGTAAAATAAAATAAAAACAAAACAAATCAACAGACATCTGACAGTTCTGACACGGACAAAAAATTCGATAGTAGATTGGGTGCGGCTATGGATAGAAAAATCGGCGGAAACAAAAACGATAAAATTGACTTATTGGCGAAAAACGGTAAAAAAATCGGTAAAATCTGTTTTTTTTTTTAAAGATAAACGTCAAAATGACATTATGTTGGCAATACAATGTAAAATTGTCAATGCTTTCAAATTTTTTGTGCAGAAAAGGCTTGTGTTGCCAACAAAGTTACTAAATTTTTGACTTGGGGAATTATCTTTAAAAAAAAAACGTACTTTAGAATCGTAATTATTGTCGAAAATCGGTAAAAATTCATCGGTATTCGGTATTTCGGTAGGTCCGATGCCATTTCGGTAGAAATACTGAAATTTCGGTAGCTTCGACAACACTGTCGGGAAGAAATAAATTTTTGGGTGACCTGAATAGTGGACGCACGAGGCGTTGTACGGAATCGATCCATAAATATGTGGTGAGCATTCTTGTTGTTAACTACTACTCTACAACAACACGTGGACTGCCTCGACCTCGAAATGAATTTTTTAAAATTTCCATCCACACTGAGCACATGAGCAGCGCACGAGCAGTTGCCTCACTTTGATGTACCGCCAACAGTTGGATCGGGTCGAGGCCAAATGCATGCGGGTTCAAACAAATTTGCACGCCTCGTTCAGACGTACACATACGTATGCTCATGCGTCCTCGGGCTGCCTCATTCGCGTTCGTGCTCATATGCGTACCCAGCTTAATCCGTATTTTCCAACCAGTTATAACCGTTCAACCTCTACCATATAAACGTACACGCCGATAAAATATTTCAAACAGTTTCGTGCCCACGTAATCGTGTTCATGTCCTTGTTCATTACACAGGAAAAAAAGATAAATTCGAAGACGCAAAGCAAGCATCGACCGGAAACACATGGGATACAGTGGGGTACGGCAAAAATTCAAAAATTCATTCCAGTGGTCGATACTGGCGGTGGCAGACGGTGAATTTTGAGGTTCGGCGTTCAACGATAAATAAACTGAAATAATTATTATTATTATTGGACTATAAATAATTACATCGATTTTCTATCTTTGCTAATTGGAAATTTGGCTTTTTTTGTTTAGTGTCTTTTTGGTGTCAAGTGCCCTAGAATTTCAAAATCAGAATTCAGGACTGTTTTGGTTTTAAAAAACTTTTGGGTAAGCAATTTGTTAATTGTTTTAAAATAATTATTGTTATATTATCACGCCTCGAATTTAATAACTATTTTATTCATTATTATTCTATCTAGGATCTAGGGTAGGTAGTAGGTACCTTATTTGAGCCCGCACTTTTATTCGGATAATTAAAAGAAAATGTTTATTTTTGAAATTAATTGATAATCTAATGCCGGCATTACATTAAAATAAATATTGCGCAACGCAAACGCGAGGAAAAATCAATACCTATTTGATATGGAGCCTCTACCAACCCATTTCCCTAAATTCGTCTGGCAGGGTCCCGAGTATAGGTCAATACTAAATGTAGGGATTTATATGCAAACTGCGTGGGTGGTCTGTATACAATACTATACCTTTAATATCCTATTGTTCCATTTATTATGTATTGCACTTATTTATTATTATTTCATTTCATTTATATGCGCCGTCTGGCCTAAACCCAAAAATACATTTTGTATTCTAGGTCAACATTATGCTTATCCGATAATCTGGAGGTATTTTTAAACGTCGACATTGTAAATTTTTTAACAATCAGTTGCGAATTTTCGATGTTGCAAAACGGTCGCTAATTTGTCGTGAAAACAACAAACTTTGTCGCGAATTATTATTAAACAATTCCTCAGCTGCTTGATCCTTAGTATTTGGAATATCACAGAAAATTGAAAATCTGTGGTAGATTGATTGTCCCTGTCACCAATCAATGAATTGAGAAACTGCCTTGGTGCCTTGGAAGTATTATTCTGTCTGGCCTTGACGCTCTTATACCAATGATTGAAGTTGGAGCCAAATTTTCTTGATAATTAAATGACTTGAAAGCGATTAAAACAATTTATTCAAAAAAATATAATGCTCTGTTTAATTTTCCAAATACTTAGTTTATCCAAATATAATGCTCTCCTTTGTCCTAAGCTACCCCTTGCCTTTGCACATGGCCCTATTTGAACGAAGAACGAACCACATTTTCTGATCATCAGGTCTAATCTGGGTCTAGCCGAGGGTCTAGCCTTTTTCTTCCTCCATTCTTTTAGCAGACTGGCCACTGGCCAGTGGTAGCGGAGTTTTCTTACGATTTTAATGTTGTTTTTTTTTGAAAATTAATACCTAGGTATATGGACTTATTAATAATCATAATTATTCATAGTATTGTCAGCAGGTGTAATTATATACGAATTATGTGGTAAATATCTAGTAGTATACCATACAATATTCATGTTATAATAGCTTACACATCAGATCGATAATAAAAATATGTAGATCAATTTTGAAAACTAATTAAAATACCATTAGCATGTTTACACAGCACATTTGAGTACCGTTAATTACTCTTTTGTACTTCTCTCTACTTTTGAGATTTATTATGCTACAAATTTTACCAACCAAATACCACATAATCGCCTCTGTAGAGCAAAAAGAGGCCAAGCGGCACACATAAACTCATATAGACAGGGATGAAAAAGACAAGTAATTGGAAATAATAAGTTTCAAAAGTGCAGTTTTATTGAGGTTTTCTTGATTTTCTCAACAATCTTATTGTATTTGGCACATGGCCCCTTCTTGCTCTACAGGGGTGATATGTGTTTTTGGCAGGGGCGCCCGCAGAAAAATATGTAGGGGTGGTCCAAATCAATTGAATAATTTTTTTATGCGTAAAAAAGGGCACTTCAGTCTAAATAATCATCATAAATAAATATTTGTATAAAAAAACTTAAAACATTCTTTCTATCTAAAAAATCACCAATTCGGAGCTACTTAGGTATACAGGGTGACAATTTGAAAAGTAGCAATCGGCAATATCTCTTAGACAAAAAATACTATCAGGAAGATCTCAAATACGTACCTATTGGGGGATTGGAGGGAAAACCAAAATGAGGCACTTTTTGAGCCTCACCCATTAGGGTGTAGCTACCCTAACTTATTTTTTTATAATACAAACCTGTGAAGTAATTTTGAGTACTTATCTCTAAACAAAAAATATCTGCCATAAAAGTCTCCGATACACATCGACCAAATAATGTGTTCATTGTAATTCTATCCGCTTCTGCATGCCTTCAAAGAGGAATAAAAAACCTTCCAAAGGAGGTATCACATGAGGTAGTTTCTCATTCTACACCATTTCAACCTCAATTTCGGAAAAAGTAACTTTTATTTAGGAAAATGTAAATTCAAATTCGGAAAAAATACATTTAATTACGGAGAAAATAATGTTATTTTTCAAAGAATAGGTATTTTGAATTGATTGAGTCCTTTATCTATTTAGAAAATCAAAAAAATGGTCCATATTTCTCAAAGAGACCCGATTTTTAAACCATAAAAGAAAGAAAAAAACTACCAAGTCTACATACATAAAGGATGACATTAAAAACGAAATAGAAGAATCAGATATAGAATTAATAGATCCAAATAAAGGAATATTTATAAAGGAAAAAGAACATTCGAGTGACATCAATTTATCAAGACAAGATGTTATTAGGAAGTTTCAATGTTACACTTACAATGCTACATTTAAAACCAAATCAAATTTGAAACATCATTCAATAACACATTTGGATATTTGTTCTTTCGAACGTAACACTTACAAAGCGGAAAAAAATGAGTTACAGCGTCACATATCAACACTTTCGGATATTTTTCCTTTTAAATGTGACACTGGTAAGAAAAAAATTTGAAGGAAAAGTTGATTTGAACGCACACATATTAACACACTCGGATGAGAAGAATTTTAAATGCAACATTTGCAAAGCAAAATTTAAAAGAAAAGGCAGTTTTAAGAGACGCAAACTAACACACTTGGATGAGAAGAATTTTAAATGCAACATATGCAATGCAAAATTTAAAGAAAAATGTAAATTAGCAAAATTTAAACAAAATAGCTATTTATACAATAAGTTACGAAATGAGCGTCTTTTAGGCACGCGACGTGAAAATTTACCAACGAGGCAAAGCCGAGTTGGACAACACGTCGAGTGACTAAAAGACATCGTTTCGTAACGTATTGTATTCAAGATTTTTTCTACTGGCATTTTATAATAGAAAAACACAATTTTATTTCATGTGAATAAGTCGATTACGCCCAAAATCTTTGTTACCTGCTTTTGCTTGACACCTGACACTTTTGATGCGATTTTTTTTTCAAGATTCGACATCAATAATTAAAATCCTAGAAAGTAGGAAACAACACAAAGTTCTGTTTTGAGTAACCCAAACGTTCGAATCAATAATTACATTTTTAATATTCGTAGTAAATACAAAACAAAATTCAATTCTGTGTTTAGTGTGTTTTTTATTTCTGAATAATGAATGACACTTTTAGGCACTAGTGCTTGAAAATTACTTTTACGCATTCAGAAGTCACTTTTACGCATTCAAAAGTCACTTTTACGCACTGAGTCCTTAAAAGTAACTTTTACGCACTCACTGCTTAAAAGAATGTCGTTTTAAAACTAAAATGACAATCGAAAAGTTGCTATCATGAAACGTCAGTAGAAAAAGGTAATTTTAAAAGTCTCATATCAACAGACTTCGATAGTTATCTTTTTGAATGTGACATTTGCGAAGCAAAATTCAAAGAAAAAGACTGTTTGAAGAGACACAAACTAACACATTCTCATATTTATCCTTTTAAATGCGACACATGCAATGCAAAATTTGAACACAAACGTAGTTTGAAAAGCCACATATATTAACACACTCGGATGAGAAGAATTTTAAATGTAACATTTGCAATACAAAATTTAAAACAGAAGGCGATTTGAAGGAACGCATATTGATCAGGGTTGGCAAAAATCAGTTTTTTTTGATTTAAATCAGATTTTTTTGATTTAAATCGGATTTTTTTTTGATTTTTTTGAATTAAATGGCTTTATTAATTTTTGATCAATTATTGGTAATTTAGTTTCAACAATGAATGATGCAGTAAATAAAGTATACCTACTCCTAGACAAAATTATCGCATCACTGCACATAAGCACCACAAAAGCAGTGGTACGATAATTTTGTCCACGAGTATACAGGGTGTCCCAAAAAGATACCGACAAACTTTAAGGGGTAGTAGGGGACATCAAAACAAGCATTTTTGTTTATATAAACATATGTCCGCAAATGAGCCATTTGGGCTGTAGAGCAAAAAAACTGTTACTTTTATTCTTCGCAATAATTAAATCACTGTTACTTATTAATTTTACTTTATTATCAAATAAATTATGGTTTACAATAATTGTTCAAAATGTTGACCATTTACTTCAATGCAAAGATTACACCGTCGGGTCATTGACTGAAAATTTTAGTCTACAAAACACCTATTCGTAATGAGGAAGATCTGTTAGCAAGGATACTGGCGAGTTATACCCATGTAGAAGCTATTCCCGGAATATTCCAAAGAGTTCGCGAGGTGAACAATTATTGTAAACCCTAATTTATTTGTTAATAAAGGAAAATTAATAAGTAAACAGTAATTTAATTCTTGCGAAGAATAAAACTAGGTTCCAAACAGATTTTTTGCTCTACAGCCCAAATGGCTCATTTGCGGACATATGTTTATATAAACAAAAATGCTTGTTTTGATGTCCCCTACTACCCCTTAAAGTTTGTCGGTATCTTTTTGGGACACCCTGTATAATAAGAGTAGGTATATAGGGTATAATAAAAATAAAAATTTATTAATGTTTATTAATAAATAAATAGTGTCAACAAACAAAACAGTAAATAAACGGTAATTTCTGAAAACAAAAATAAAAAACATAAATAAAAATATTCGATAGGTAGAGGTGTGCATAAGGTACCTACCATAGAGAAATATAATAAACCAAGGTGAGAGTTACCGATTCTGTGGTACGACACTGGCAACGCGATGACGTCAGATCGATACTAGCGCCACCGTACACTACAAGACCAACTTAAATAACATTTGGTGGGCTTTTTGAACCTTTAAATTATAGTTTTGTTATTTCTGAAGGTAGAAATTTAACCCAGCGTTTTTCCGC